AAAAATCCTAGAGGAAACACTGGTAAAGGCAATGAGCTGTCATGTCTTTCCTTTATAGGGACAAAAGACTTGTTTTGTAGTTGTTACAGCATAATCAATACATATTTTTTCCAAAAACACATATAAAAGCTAGACTAGAAAATTAACCCTCTAGACACCTTGTCTGACATACTTCCCCTCCAGTCATAACCAGTGTTTGTTCTTGTTCCTACAGTGTGCTGTTTGAATGCTGGATGTGCAGAGTTTGAGACTAGAAGGATGTTTTCACATTCATCTGCTGAAAGTGGAAAGTTTCTCTGTGCTCTGCATTACAGTGAAGTAGGAGACATCTTGTGTCCAGCAGAAAAATTTGAAAAATCTACATTTGCATATTCAGTGATTCTGGAAGTTTTAATAAGGAAGAAGGAGGAGATAACTTTTAAGGATATTAATATATAAATTAGACGTTTTTCGTGAAAAAAACATGTCAGACACACATTATTGTTCCAAGCAGACTATTTGTATGCGTGTCCTAATAGAATTCTTGTAGGGATCATTAAGTTAGCCTGAAGGTTTTCTTTTATTTCCTACTTTTCCTTTTCTATTTCATACTTTGGTTAAAAGCCTCATAGTTATACTTCTTGGCAAGTAGTGCATATGTGCTGTTTGTAAACAGGTAAGCTCATATGGAGGCGGGATGTGTAAACAAATCAGTAAAGTAGCATATCTCTGAACAGACATACAGAGAGCCTTTTACACAGGTATGTTTAAATACAGTAGTGCCACTGTTGTTTCCACTGAGCTAACACAGAGCACAGGGAGAGTCTGTGCAAGTCTGACCTACAGTGAACTCAAGGTGCCCCATCAAAGAAGACCTGACCACTGAGGAATCTAGGACAGAAAGAGGTCCCATGTGTGCATTGCAGGTGTGCAGGTGTATTAATGAATAAATTCTCAGTCAAAGGCAGTAAAAAAAATTACTTTTTGGCATAGTATCCCCTTAGATACAGATTCTCTGGAGTCATGGCAAACAAGAATAAGTACCAAAAAAACATAATGATTACTTCTCGTCATATTTTGTTTGCAGCAGCAAATCATATTTGGAGAGAGAGAAAACAGTCACCGATCTTGATATCTGCATTCTCTCTCTCTCTGCCCGGTGCACAGACCACAGATCTGCAGATAATGCCCCCTACGTCTGGAAGGCTACATTATCTAAAGAATTTGTCTGCCTCTGTTGTGTATGTGGGCACATCAACAAAGATGTCTCAGTATGCAGGTCTGAATGTTCTGACCCACACCAGGGTCAAAACCTATTGCATCATCAGCACAATGGCCGTCCATTCATACACACGCCTACCCCGGATACAGCTGGGTCATACATTTTGGACCTGGAAACATTTCGGTTAGGCAGCTAATATATTCTGTCAGAGTGAGGCAAGGTTGAGGAGTGACATCCAGTTGAAACATTTTTAAAGCAGTACTGCCCCTCAGGGGCGTTGAGAGGAACTGCAGGCTGCAAGGATTTCTATTCAATCCTCTCTTCTGTAATACAACACTGAGGCTTCTCCATAAACCATTTAAGTTGTGATGTTACCTGTACAGGTCTGCCATCCTCCGTCCCAATCATGTTCCTCCATTCCATCAGTGATTGCTGCAGGGTGTCCAATCCAGTCTCCCACAGCCGGACGTACCCTCCCATATCCACTGTGACCACACCTCCAGAACCAAGAGGAGCCATTAGCACGTCAGACTCTGACATCTTGGACAACCAGCTGGTGTAAGGCGACACGGTCATTGACCTGCCAAGTATGTAGGAGAGTTGAGACACTTAGAAAAGTCTTCAAAGGGGCATCAAGACCATTATTAATGCAATTTAAGAAGAGAGAGAGAAGTATGAAGGATATGATGGAAATCGGTATTGGCTCCAAGTTGGTTTCATTTGGTAGTTGTTCATGTTCATGCTGTAACAACGTGATCAATAGGGATTTTTCCCCAAAACACATTTAAACGAGAGACTGAAAAATGCTTTTTTGAGAAAACTTTAATGTTATGGCCTACAATTCTGATTATTGGATTTTAGACTTTTTGGGTCCCCGCAGACACCTCACAAGTTGAGGTGAGCATGAAGGTTTCCTGCTTTTCCTTTTTCATTGTCATTTTAACGTTAATTTCACTTATCCAATCAATTTTTAGGACCTGTCGAAATCATATTCAAGACATTTTAAGGCCTAAAATTCAGATTAATGGATGTTAGACTTTATAAGACACCTTGGATTTAGATGGGCAGGAATGCAAAATGAGATTTGGAATGAGACAAAAATCACAAAGGACAAGCCACCAACTTACACAGAACATGCAAGATTTCAAAATTTCTACTGTCTCTTTAAAAATAAGAGCAGATAGAGGCTTGCAGAAAATATTTGCACTAATTTTTGGCCAAATTATTCTATGTTTGACAAGGGTAAAGGATGATTTATTAATTTTATTCTTTGATAATACATGAAAAACATCAGAAACAGAAATTCATAATTTAAA